TGTTTTTGTTTCGTTAATCCATTTAAGGGCACCCAACATAAATAAGATAAGGTGGGGATTTCATCACCATTCCTTGGCCCAAAAATCACCACCCTTCACGTGCGGTTCACCCTAACCCTAATTTAAAATTTGGATAGCAAGATCCTTCAGAGAAGCCTCACACTTGGTTCAAAGGTGTGCTGAATTTTAGGAAAGCTTGAAATTACTTTCCATAACCGGCAGTTGGTGTCTAAGGAAAGAGGTTAAACGGCTATGCCGAAGCGGGTTTTGTGGTTACTTAATTAGGTCCTTGCAAGAGCAAGGGGAGCCTCCCACATCCCCACCTCTTACCTACCTAACCAAAGGAAGTGGTGTAATTCCAAATGAACCTAAAAGGATTCACATTGGTCGAACCACTAGTTTAGGAGACCCTAAGTGAGCCCCTAGGTTGTGTGGTTGATTTGCTTGCATTTTTTTAAATTTAAATATTCAAATTTGAATTTAAATTTCAAAATCCAAATTTGAATTTAAATTTCAAATTTCAAAAAAATATATATAAAAAAAGAAAATTCAATTTCAAATTTGATTTTAAATTGCAGAATTTAAATTCTAAAATCTAAATTTGAAATTAAAATTCAAAATTTAAGTTTCAAATTAAAAAAAAAAAGAATAAGAAAAAGGGGGTTAAAACAGAATAAGAGAAAATGAATTCAATGGCCGGAGTGTGTTGAATGAGAAACTACTTCCAACCTGAGTCACAAAGTCCTTGCATATCGTCAACAAAGTGGCCCATACCCAACCTTGTCAGCCTATCCATCATGTTCCACCTATGCAAGCCCAACCCACCATGTTAGCCAGTGCCCTACGGCAAGCCCATGTCAATCAATCATTCAAAACCAAATACATGTGGCCAATAGATCTTTCCAACCTAATGCTAACCCATTCTTTAGCCCATACAACCCTGGGTGGGAAAATCAGCCCAACTTCACTTATAGGGCCCAAGCCAGAGAAACCCACTTGCCAGAAAGGCAGACTCAATGGTCTGAAGCCTAGACACACTCGGAGTACAATGATTACCCTGAGACTCAACCAGCTCAACCATGTCAAACCTACACACAGTCCCAACAGTACCATTCATCTAACTCCATGGCCCAACAATTTCAGAGGCAACAAGGGCAGAGCAAATGCATCCTAGGAACCAACCGGCCCAACCGTACAGTAGATGACCAATTCATGCAGCTTCAGCAACTGATCCTAAATAAACAACAATCCATTGATAGATTAGAAAGCCAAATAGGATGGCTAGCCGAAGCCAAGGCGAGGAAAGAAGTAGGGCAAATACCGAGTCAACCAGTTGTGACTCCAAGAAATCATTCACTGGGTTTTCCTCCACAACAAATTCAACCACCTCCTAAGAACACTTAGCCTGAAAATACCAAGGCTATTACAACCTTAGGGAGTGGGAGGATTTTAGAGGGCTCATGTGAGAAGAAGAAAAGGAGTAGGAAGACCCTAAGTTTGGGGGAGAAGAAAAAGGAAAGGAAAACATAGAAGAAGAGTGCATAATGAACCAACCCGTAATTCCCTTTCCAACTGCACTCACAGTCGGGTCGTTGCGAAAGAAGAAAGAGACTCGCAACGAGTAGAGCAGAGAAGTCCATATTAACTTCCCTCTCCTCGACGCAATCCAAGATATCCCGACCTATGCCAGGTTCTTGAAAGAGCTGTGTACTTAAATGATGAAGCCACGATCAGCCCCAGAAAAAATGATGCTCTCGGCAGATGTTAGTGCAGCTCTCCTAAACCAACTTCCCCAAGGTCCTGATGCTCCTCTCGTAAGCTATGTCATCTCTGGAATCACCTTCAATCGGGCCTTATTGGATCTAGGGGCCAGTACAAATCTGCTTTCATCCATTATTTATAACAGGTTCAGGATCCGCGAGTTAGAACCTACCCCGATAATTCTGCAACTCGTCGATTGGTCAGTCAATACCCCTCAAAGTGTTATTGAGGACATCATTGTTAGGCTAGAGGGTTGTCACTTCCTAGTGGATTTCATCATCCCAAACATGACCCTAACCGAGGAACTGAACCACATCCCGATAATCTTAAGATGTCCATTTCTAGCAAAGACTAATACAAACTGTAAATCAGGGGAAATGAACATTTCATTAGGGAAGCAGAAAGTCCGGTTAAATGTTTTTAGTGCCTCTAAGTATCCAAACCTAGAGGAACATGAATGCAAGGTAGATATAGTGGACAATCTTTTAGATGCCCTACCTACCCCTTGGTTAGCCCAATCTGAACCCTGTATGTTAGAAGATGAGAGTGAGTCGGAGAGTTTAGATGAAGAAAGTGCATAAATGTGTTCAGTTAAAGACGTTAAACTCAACGCTGGTTGGAAGCAACCCAACGTAATTTTTAGTTACTTTTAGGATTAGAGTTTTTGTTTTGTGATTCGAGACCAAGTGGCAGAACTTGAACCCCTCAGGAAAACCCTATCGATTGTTTCCTTTGGATCAAATCCTTTGTGCATCAGTCTAGTCATGCCATTAGGGACAATGCCATTTAAGTTGAGGGGTGAGGAAAGAGAGAGAAAAAATGAAAAAGAAAATTTAGAAGCTAAGCCTTAAAATATGTATAATTAAAATTTCATTGAAAATTTTATAATTTTTTTTCCATTAAAAGAGATTCGCAAACAAAAAAGGTTGAGGAAACTCATAAAAGAATATTGAATTTTGTAGAAATTAGTAACAAGTGATAAGAGTCAAAATTGGTTTCATTTGAATATTGTCGAAATTGTTTAGAAATTGGAAAATAATCCCAAGTTTTCCCCTGCCAAGATAAGAACAGAAAAATGGAGAAATTAGACAAAAAAAAATTCTCCAAATTGTAAGAAACAGTGGACTACCCTTGCCTTGAACAATGTTGCAAAAAAAAAAAAAAGAGGATGAGAGAGAGAGAATAAAAGGTCAATGGACACCCTAGACTTAGTAACCGGGTCTCTTCTCCTAAGTCAAGTGTCAAGATTCGCATCAAATAGGAAAGGGAATGCCAGAGACAACCACCTAACACTTAGTGATCGGGTCTCTCCTAATTAGAATAGGAGGCTGATCCTGAGAAGACTATAAATAAAGGGTTTGGTAGTTAGTGCTATTTCGTATTCTCGTTGGGCGTGAACACCTTCGTTGGGAGTTACTGCTATTTCGTATCAGGTATATCCCTCTCCTCTCTTTTGGTTTCAGATATAGTCTGGTTTTGGATTCAAGAACGATCTTTGAAGGTGCAGTTTTCTAAAATAGGGAATGTGATTCCCAGATAGGAGAGAGTGAAATTTTTGAAATTTCACCCAACCTTCCTACAGGGTTTGGCCATACACATGATGGATCTCTCATCCCTTCAGTGGTATCAGAGCCATGGTTTGATTCTTGAACCGAAATTGAACTAGATTTGATCTGTGCAAATCGGTCGGAATTGTTCTACCCGATTTGTGTAGTTAAAGTTTTTTCTAGGAAATCGATTCCTAGTTTTCGGCGAATGATCTGAAAAATAATTATTTATTATTCTGTTATATATTTAGAATGTTCTATTTATATTTCTTAAATTTTGGGCGAATGTCTTCATGCTATCTTCACCCTAAGCTGTCCCAAGCTCTTGGTTTCCCGAAATCATTCTCAATTAGGGTAAAAATCATGAAAATTCATCATCAAAACCATGTATATAGTAGTAAAAATGATGTGTAGCATACGCACACATCAAACTCTCCCACACTTAAGCTTTTTCTTGTCCTCAAGCAAAGATATTACCCATAAACTGATCATTCCCTAGATTATTACCATCTACCGAATGAATTTTAGGATGAAAATACATTAAGTGGTCGGGAAAACTGCATAAACATTATGATTCATCCCCACGATTGGTCACTCTTACCACCTACACGAGAACAAAGGAAGGGAGAACATGAGCTTCTTCACGCTCCAGCACTTAAGTCCGTTCAATATGTATATTAGCTCCTTCACTACCAATATTAACCATTACTTTGAGCTTGGTCTCAAATCTGTCAATGCACTTAATTGAATTTCCAACTATATTTTTGTCCCTTTGAACCTCAGTCATCACCGAATTCTTTTCTTTCTTTTTTTTTGTGAGTGCATTTTATGCTCCATCTCACATGGGTCACAGACTAGAGGCAGATAACAATACTCGTATTCCCAGTTGCTAGTTTACTATTCAACTTGGAATTGCGGAGTTGGGACTGAACTCATATCATGAACTGCTAGTTTTACTATTCGATTCATGGCAACAGAGTCATTTGGACTTTATCCCTTTTTCTTCTTCTATTTTTTTCTCTTTTTGCAATTTTTTGAAATTCATGCATTAACAGATCATGAAGTGCACTAATGGCTCAAGTGTTCATTAAGATTTCGATTAAGTGCCATATACACATGAGTAGAATTAGTGATGGTCATGATGAAAGTCTTGTTCGGCTTCCTTAACCTCATGTATTATGATAAAATTGGATAATTCACAGGAATGACTTCTAGTACTTACAGTGATTTCCTTTAACTCATCGTATTCCCTCTTGGAATTCACCTTATAGACAATAATAAATATCAAGGGAATTCCAGTTTATCCGGCCTATCGATGCATGTAAGTATTGGGGTGATTGAGATGCAGAACTACAGCCTCCCCCACACTTATCATGAACATTGCCCTCAATGTTCATATAATTTGAAGATGAATTCAGCAATGAGGGCAGTGGGACTTCAAGCAATAACAAGGGTTTAGAGAACTTCCTTGAAGAGTGTGCTGAATTCTGAATTGGCTCTTCCGTTTGGCCCTTCTATCTACTGAGAATCGAAAGAAACTAGGAGGAGGAGAGAATGATACACTAGATGTAATCAGCAATCTATGAAACTCAAATCCTAGAAAAACAAATAAAAATAAGAACTACTTATTAGCATTGGGTTGCCTCCCAATAAAAGCTTGTTTTCCGTCTGAAGCTCGATGTTACAGTGGCATCAATGAACATCTAGGTACACAGTTGGTGGGGTAGGCAATGCTCCATCCGCTATATATGGTTTGAGGTGCTGACCGTTGACTTGAAAACATCCACCAACCGCATAATCAATGACATCTATCATACAACATGAATCATCAATAGAAGATGCATGCTTCATAGCATCAGACATTTTAAAAGTTACTTTCTCATCTTGAATCCTAAGGCTGAGTTGTCCTTTTTGGACATCAACCGTTGCCTTTCCTGTAGCTAGGAAGGGTCGCCCTAGGATAAGTGGGACATCAACGTCCTCTTCCATGTCTAACACTATGAAGTCTACTGGAAAAATGAATTTATCAACCTTAACAAGTACATCTTCTATGATTCCCCTAGGATGCTTGATGGACCTATCAGCTAACTGCAATGCAACTCTAGTGGGTTGGGGTTCACCCAACCCTAATTTCTTGAAAACCGAATATGGCATCAAATTTATACTAGCTCCTAAATCACACAATGCCTTATTAATTTTCAAACTGCCTATAGTGCAAGGAATAGTGAAACTCACTGGATCTTTCAGTTTTTGAGGCAGCTTATTAAGGAGGATTGCTGAGCATTCTTCATTCAGTGCAACTGTAGCCACGTCTCCCAGTTTCCTTTTGTTTGCCAATATCTCATTCAGGAACTTTGCAAAGTGTGGCATCTAGGCTAAAGCATCTGCAAAAGGAATGTTAATATGTAAACTCTTAAAAATTTCAAGAAACTTACCGAATTCATTTTCTAATTTGTGTTGCTTTAGCCTATTCGGAAATGGTACTTGCGGCTGTTGACTTTTCTCTTTCTTTGAATCAGATTGCTCTTCCTCCTTCTTTTCGGTTTCTAGGGTTGCACTCACCTGGCCTTCTTCCTTTGCCTTCTTCTCCACCTCTTGCAGATCCTTGCCACTCCTCAAAGTAATGGCTTGCACCTGCTCTCTTGGATTTGCTTCGGTATTGCTGGGTAAAGTGCCTTGGACTCTAGAAGATATCATCTATGCCAACTTCCACACTTGAGTTTCCAAGTTCTTGATCGATGCCTCTTGGTTCTGAAATCTCGTTTCTGCACTTGCTATGAACTTGGTCATCAACTCCTCTAGATTGGATTTTTTCTCTGGTTGATTGAAATTTTGGGGAAAGGGTTTCACCACATTTTGATTTTGCCAAGACAGATTGGGGTGGTTCCTCCAACCGGGGTTAAATGCATGAGGGTACTGATTGCCTTGCTGCCTTTGCAAATTACCAACAAAATCTACTAGATAAGGGGACTGCATGAACTGATTTTCAACTTGACATTCACTGCTGATATGACCTCCCCCATACCATTTACAGGCTACGGTCTGAACATGCATGGCTGCCAACTGCATTTCATCTATCTTCTTGCTGAGGGCACCGATTTGTGCAAATTGTGTTGTATAGGTGACTACATTATGAAGTCCGGGTTGTCTCCTAACTTGGGTTCTCTCGGAATGCCATTGATAGTTGTTTGCAGCCATCTCCTCAATGAGTGCATGGGCAACCTCAGGGGTCTTGTTATTAATGGATCCCCCAATTGTAGCATCCATAATGGTCTTATTGGCTTCGGTCAACCCATTATAAAATGTTTGAACTTGCATCCATACGAGAAGTCCATGATGAGGGACCTTCCTTAGTAATTCTTTGTAACGCTCCCATGACTCATACAATGACTCTCCGTCCTACTGAAAGAAGGTGGTGATATTATTCCTCATTTTTGCAGTCTTAGACGGAGGGAAATACTTGGATAGGAAACAACTGGTCATTTCATCCCAAGTAGAGATCGATACAGCTGGGAGAGAGTTCAACCACRTCTTAGCCTTGTCCTTCAATGAGAACGGAAACAATCTGAGCCTCACCGCATCATCACTAACTCCATTGTGCTTGAATGTGTCACATATTTCCAAGAAGTTGGCGATGTAAGTGTTCAGGTCTTCATGAGCTAAGCCGTAGAACTGAACTGTATTCTGAATCATCTGAATTATTATTGGTTTGATTTTGAAGTTATTGGCAGCTATTGTTGGTATCACAATGCTCGAGGCTGCCCCAGTGAGGGTTGGTTTGGCATAATCCAACATGGTCCTTTATTCAGCCATCTCTGCACTTTCAGCTCTCCCTTGCTTAGAAGCTCTAAGACGGCGATGGAGAGTTCTTTCAATCTCGGGATCGTAGGTGATGCTCTCCTTTTCACTTATGTGTGTCATAAACTGTACAAGTCAAAGTCATAAAGATACTAATACACAAACGGTGTATCAAAGAGGAGGAACCGGACCCTATTGGATATGGTCCAATCACTTCTCATCCACTCAGAATTACCTACATCCTTTTGGGGATACACATTGGAGACTGTGATTTACGTGTTGAACCGGGTTCCAACCAAATTTGTTTCAAAGACTCCCTATGAGCTTTGGACCGATAAGAAACCAAGTGTGAGACACTTTAAGATTTTGGGTTGTCCGGCACATGTTAAAAGAGCTAGTGCTGACAAATTAGAATCTAAGACCAGTCGTTGCCTATTTGTAGGTTACCCCAAAGGCTCTATAGGTTACCTATTCTATGATCTAAAAGAACAAAAGGTGTTTTGCAGTCGAAATGCCTGTTTCTTAGAACAAGATTACATCCTAGAGAATCTTCAACAAGAAGTTGTTCTTGATGGGGAGAGCCCAGGAGTATTGGAAGATGTCCCACAAGCTCCAAATACTCAACCTAGAAGGTCTACCAGGGTATCCAGGCCTCCAGTTCATTACGGCTATGACCAAGAAAGTTACTTGGTGGAAGCCACAACAAGTGAAGAGGATCCCACGACTTATGCAGAAGCTATGTTGGACATAGATTCTCTGAAGTGGGTAGATACCATGAAAGCTGAGATGGACTCAATGGAGACCAACAAGGTCTGGACTCTTGTGGACCCACCCTCTGGAGTGAAAGTAATTGGTTGCAAGTGGATTAAAAAGAGGAAGGGCCCAAATGGTAACACTGAGACCTATAAAGCTCGTCTTGTGGAGAAATGGTACACTTAGAAAGAGGGAATCGACTATGAGAAGACCTTTTCGTCGGTGGCTATGCTGAAGTCTATTAAGATCTTGCTCGCTGTAGCAGCATACAATAACTAAGAGATTTGGCAAATGGATGTCAAAACCGCACTCCTGAATGGAGATCTTACTAAAGATATCTATATGCAGCAACTGGAAGGATTCATTGCCGTAGATCAGGAACACATGGTATGCAAACCTAACCGATCCATATATGGACTGAAGTAGGCTTCTAGGAGTTGGAACATCCGATTTGACTCTACGGTCAAACAGTTTGACTTTGGGCAAAATCCGGATGAACCATGTGTTTATAGGAAAACCAGTGGGGTTAAGTTTACATTCTTGGTTCTATATGTAGATGACATTCTACTCATTGGGAATGATGTAGGAATGTTAAATACAGTGAAAGTATGGCTTTTACAGCAATTCTCCATGAAAGATCTTGGAGAAGCCTCCTATATACTGGGTCTTCGACTCTATAGAGATAGATCGAAGAGGGTAATAGGATTATCCCAGTCTACTTACATTGACAAAACAGTTAAGAGATACAATACGGATAACTCAAAGAAAGGAAATGTTCCTTTCAAGCACGAAGTCACTCTCTCTAAGGGTATGTCTCCCAAAACTCTCGAAGAGATTGAGGGCATGAAGGGGACTCCCTATGCCTCAGCCGTAGGGAGCATCATGTATGCCATGTTGTGCACTCATCCTGACATAGCTCAGGCAGTGAGTGTGGTAAGTAGATACCAGTCTAACCCAATACAGGAACACTAGACAGCTATTAAAAACATACTGAAATACCTTCAATGGTAGTTCACTACAGATCCAAGGGTATACTGATGTTGATTTTCAGTCAAATCCAGATAATATAAAGTCTACATCTGGGTACATCTTTACGATGGGGACCTGTGCAGTTAGCGGGAAAAGCAGTAAACAAGGTTTCACCACAGATTCCACGACTGAAGCCGAATACATTGCTGCAAGTGAAGCTACTAAAGAAGCCATCTGGATGAAAAAGTTCATTCAAGAATTAGGAGTAGTTCCGTCCAGCACATCACCCATTCCACAGTTGTGTGACAACAATGGAGCTATAGCTCTGGCTAAAGAGCCAAGAGCCCACTCGAAGTCAAACCACATCGAGAGGAAGTACCATGTACTGCGGGAGATAGTTTGTAAAGGGGACGTCCTAATTCAGAAAGTAGCATCAGCGAAGAATTTAGCAGACCCATTGACTAAGCCACTTACACAGAAAGTGTTTAAGAAACAGGTGGAAAGTATGGAACCCCGACTTATACCCGATTGGACCTAAGTGCAGGTGGGAGCTGTTAGACAGTTACGCCCTTAGCTCCAATCAAATTGATGTATCACTAGAAATTGATTGAAAATGAATAAAGTACCTAATTGATTCATGTCATTGTAGTGTGTTTCTGTGTAATACCCTTAAACTGGACACTTATGAGACTCATGTTAGTTTAGAATCTTCACAACTGTTGGATAGATCTGGGGACATTTATCCTGCTAAGGCTGACACTGATGTGCCACTAAGTTGGTTGGGGTGGCTTGTCTCATCTACCAGGGTGAGACCTGAGGTACATGCAATGTGGGTTTTCTTGAAACCCTAAACCGGACTAAAATTCCAGTATTGCCCTAGACCTTGGAGATAGATGGACAAAACTGGAATGTTACACTTGACCCCTAGACTCGATTATGGTACTACACTAGGTGTTGGATCGGGCTGTCTTTGATATGCCAATCAGTGAGATCCTTAGAGTGGGTCAAAACTTGGGTATGTTGGGACAGTCTAAGAATTCATCTGAGTGGGTGATCATAGTGACAGAATCAGCCCCTTTGTCAGACAAAGTGAATGATCGGGTAATGCACTCTCTCTGATGGAAACCTAAACTACCGGGAGTTGATTTCAATCGTTGAAATTTATTTTGCAAAATATATTTATATAGAGATATACTTATATATATTATGGTTTCAAAATGTTTGCAGAAGGTTTTAATTCCCAGGATCCATGTGAGTAGAGAGTACAACACTACTCCTTGCAACCAAGGTAGAGGTCCTCTCTTGTCGGGCAATGTTTGATCATTATAGGCTAAGTGGTTAAGTGTAAGACCATTGAGGGTAATACCTGATGAGCTAATCTTGCATCTACCCACAGTCCTTGGGTTTTCATAAGGTGGCTGGACCCAAGGACCATTTAGTGTAAATGTTGGGCCCATTAAGAGCCCATGATGATGGACTCAGGGGTTCACTGTCTCCTACATTGAATTCGGCCAGACCTTGTAACAAAGGCTGGGCTGAACCCATGTGGCTGATGTGTAGATCAATGTTTGGGTCCCACGCCATACAAAGAGAGCCAACTAGGTAGCAGGTTAGGGGGTTAAGTGGGCACATAAGTTTAATGGGCCTTAAGCCCAATTCGAGCTGGGCTAAAGTTAGTTAATTAAAAGGAGGCAAGATAGGATTTATAATCTGATTAGGATAAGCTGAAGGATAAAATAAGTCTTGTACATCCAAGAGTCCAGATCCAAATATCATATTTGGATTAAGGAACTCTCTCCTAATTAGATTAGGAGGCTGATCCTGAGAAGGCTATAAATAAATGGGGCGAATTCCTCGGTTACACAACACAGCAACCTACAGAACACCTTGGGCGTGAACACCTTCATTGGGAGTTATTGCTACTTCATATCAGGTATATCCCTCTCCTCTCGTTTGGTTTCAGATCTGGTCTGATTTTGGATTCAAGAACGATCCTTGAAAATGCAGTTTTCTAAAATAGGAAATGCGATTCCCAGATGGGAGAGAAAGAGATTTTTGAAATTTCGCCCAATCTTCCTACAGGGTTCGGCCATCCATATGATAGATCTCTCATCCCTTCAAGAGAGAGGTCAGAGGAAAAAGGGGGTGTCGGTCGAGAGGAAGGGGATGAGGGTAATATTGGGTTTTAAAAATCTTTAAATGTCATGTGGTGTCACATGTGTACTGGTTTTGACGGAATATTAACGGATGCTAACGATAAGGGGAGTATTAGTCGATTGTCAAAAATAGTAATGGTAAAGTTAGTCAATTTTCAAACAGTAAGGATACACTTAGTCAATTAGCTAAACCATAAGGGTAATTTAAGAAATTTACCCAAATAAAAATCTGTGATAATGGGAATGGTTTGTAATCCAAATGGCTAGCTTAACAGTTAGAAAATGCCAACGCATATGGAGAATTAGAGGAAAGAGTAGCTTAATTGAATAATTGGTGCGTAAACATACAAATAGGGTTTCAAAAAAACAAGAATAATAAAAATATAGCAATCAAATATATATATATATATATATAATAAAAGGAAAATATAAATATAAATAATAAAAATAAGATATAATAATAAAAGAAATAAAAATAAATAAATAAAGTATAACAATAATAATAATAATAATAATAAATTGATAAGTAAAAGTGGAGAGGATTTTCTTTCATATTGGCTTATTCTTGTGATTTGCTTTCTTTATCTTCGTTGTTAAGGTAATTGTTAAATTTCATGCTTGGTTATTGGTATCCCATGTGGGCCCCACTTATTGGACTTGGGAGAGAGGTGCCTAACCCCTTCCCTCTCCCATCCGAGTCTTACTCAGACTGGTTCAGCTAGTACATCAGGCCTTGGAGTCACTAATAAATCAAAATATTTTTTGATACAAATCTTGGAGGTCTCATCACCTCCATTTCAATAACTGATGGATGACGACTCCAAATCTAACCCAAGTGAACCACTTTCCTTATGCTCATAATGGAATTCGGCTTCCTTGGGTATTTGGGTGTTTCAAAGAGATTGGAAGGGTCTGATCGGGTGTTCAGAGTAAATTGGAGGTTTCAACAGTGGATTGAGCAAAAACCGGGTGCTAACAGGCTTAACAGCTTGGTTTATAGGCTTTCTTGGACTTACACAAGAGGCTACATTCTTAAAAATCTACTTTAAAATCCAAAGGAAGGAGTTCTAAACCTATGGATGAAAATTTTCAAGGTTCCTAAGTGTTGGATTGTCTTTA